CGTCACGATAACGCTCACTGTTAGGTCCTTTTTTACTTCTGGGTCATCTGCTAAAATTGCTTGGTGATCCACATCTAGTTTAGGCCATTCTTCTTCTGACCTGTGGAGAAATTCTTGTCCATTTCCTACATTTGAGGAACTTCTCAGCTTTCATGGCTCTGGGTGCGTCCTCTGCCGGGTACTCCTTGGAGGAAATATATCTCCACAGTTTCACATCTGTTGCTTCTCGAATGACAGAAATTCTGTTTGCAACAAAGGTGTTAAATCTTCTGGTTTCATTGGAGATGTATTTTAGTGCTGTTTCAGTCCAGAAAACAGGTGGCTCCAACTTTATTTGCAACTCTTTTTGCAGCAGTTTGTTGACTCGTACCTTAAGAACTGCAGCTGTCAGTTCCAACCTGGGGACTGTAGTTTGCTTAAGAGGGGTAACTCTAGCTTTTCCCAGGATGGAGGCAACATGTGAAATGTTATTCTTCTCCTGTCTTAAATATGACACTGTTCCATAGCCATCTTGACTTGCGTCAGAAAAATGATGAAGTTGTGCTTTGTCTGGCTTTCCGATGCAGCTTGGTTTGATGCAACATTCCATTAACAAAAAATTTTATCAGCTGGAGATCCTCCAGCTAATCATGCCACTGCTTAGAGAGAGAATTGGTGATAACTTAATCCCACTTCAAATTTTGTTGACAAAGTTCTTGTAGCAACAGTTTAGCTGACATACTGAAGGGGGCCAGGATTCCCAAAGGATCATACAGTGAGCTAACCACAGATAAAATGCCCCTTCTTGTCTGTGGGCGGTCCTGCACCGAGGTTCTGAACTTGAACTTATCTGTTTCGATGCACCACTGTAAACCCAATGCTCTGTCAATTGGAAGTTGATCTGTGTCCAAATCCAGATCCTTGATTTCCTTTGCTCTCCTTTCCTCTGGGATTGACATGAGCACTGTGCGACTGTTGCTGACCCATTTTGACAGCTAAATCCTCCTTTAGAGCAGATATCAGTCAGCCTCTTCACCATGTGCACTGCATCTTCTTCTGAAGGAACAGATTTTAAACAGTCATCCACATAAAAGTTATTTTTGACTGTATAAACCACTTCAGCTGAAAACCGTTGTGCACTATCATTAGCAGTTCTTTGCAGAGCATAATTTGCACAGCTTGGTGAAGACACTGCTCCAAACAAATGCACTTTCATCCTGAACTCCTGTGTCACCATGATGCCACCACAGGAAACGAAGAAAGTTGATATGTTTTTCTGAGACATAAACTTGGTGAAACATGGCATCAATATCGGCCATTAATGCAACAGGCTCTTTTCTAAATCGGTTGAGAACTCCAACCAGAGAGTTTGTGAGGTCAGGTCCCTGTAGAAGCTGGCTGTTCAATGATGCTCCTTTATAAGTTGTTCCACAGTCAAATACAACTCTCAACTTGCCTTTTGTGGGAGGATGCACTCCATGATGAGGAATGTACCACACGTTTCCATCACTTTTCTGTAATTCATCTGCAGGTACAGTTTCAGCATATCCTTGTTCTAACATGTTGTTTACACATGCAACGTATTCCTCCTTGTAATAAGCATCCTTTTCAAATCTCCTTCTGAGGCTCTGGAGGCGCTGCTCTGCAACACAGATGTTATTTGACAAGCTGGGACTTTCTCTCTTAAAAGGTAAGTCAATATGATAATGATTTCCAACAAGTTTTGTTGAGCTACTAACAATATCCATGAAACACAGATCCTCTCTGGACATTTCTGCAGTCTCCTCTGATGATCTTTCATTAAAGTCATGATTGTACTGTTTGACCAGCATTTCTGTAAGATGTTCAACAGAGATATCCTGGTGCATGCTCAATAATCCAGGTAGAAAAATCCTAAAAAGTTCAATCTGGTCCTCTGGACATTCAAAAAAACAAAAAACAATACAAAGCAAAAAAAAAATATATAGAAATGTTTCGTCTCTCATCCGAGAGACTTCCTCAGTCTGAGGAGCTGTATTCAGCTCAGTCTCTTAAACAGCACCTTCTCAGAGTGGATCAACCAGTTTTGCTGCTGACAACCAAAACCAGCTGCTCACATGGTCAAGAAGGACCATCAGCATAACAATGGATCATTAGCACACTGATGGCTGTTTACTGTTCACAGGGGGTTGAGTGATACTAGCAATCACAGCATTGTAAGAGGGGGACAGTTGAACCCGGAGGCCTCCACCCCTGTTTAATGATGGACGGTTTCTTTTCACAAAGATGGCCTCCTTTACTCCTCTCTCAAACCATCGTTCCTCTCTATCCAGGATGTGAACATCTTCATCCCTGAAAGAGTGACCGCTGGCCTGGAGATGAGTGTAGACTGCAGAGTCCTGGCCTGATGATGTTGATCTTCTGTGCTGGGCCATCCTTTTGGCCAGAGGCTGTTTAGTTTCCCCGATGTAAGACTGATCACCCTCCTGACACTGAACAACATACACAATATTACTCTGTTTGTGCCGGGGGACTGGATCTTTGGGATGAACCAGTCTTTAATGTATTTTGGGGATTAAAAGCCACTGGGACGTTATGTTTTGAAAATAAACGTCTCAGTTTCTCTGATACTCCCTCAACATATGGAATGACCACTGGTCTGGGTCTGGGTTCCTCCTTTTCTCCTGATGGCTGACTGGAGTCCTGTTTGGGTTTCTTCTCTGCTTTCAGGAAGGCCCAGTTAGGATATCCACATTGCTCTAGAGCCTGTGGACACTTGGTGGTGTCCCTGAACAGGACGTCAAGTCAACAGACATCAGGCAGAAACATGGGTGTGCTATGGGGTCTCCAGTTTCTCCTATTGTTGCCAACCTGTACATGGAGGAGGTAGAAAAGAGAGCCTTGAAGTCCTTTTCAGGGACACCACCAAGTCATTGGTTCAGGTATGTTGACGACACCTGGGTTAAAATTAAATCTCAGGAAGTCCAACATTTCACTGCCCACATCAACTCTGTGGATAAATACATCAAGTTCACACGAGAAGATGTAAAACATGTCAGGTTGGCTTTCTTGGACTGTGAGGTCTCAGTCTCTGATAGAGGACATTTGCAAACTGAGGTGTACCGCAAACCCACCCACACAGACCAGTATTTGCAGTTTGACTCCCATCACCCTTTGGAGCACAAGTTAGGAGTCATCAGGACTCTGTATCACAGAGCAGACAGTGTCCCCACTAACTCAGGAGCCAGACAGAAGGAGAAATCCCACACAAGACAGGCTCTAGAGCAATGTGGATATCCTAACTGGGCCTTCCTGAAAGCAGAGAAGAAACCCAAACAGGACTCCAGTCAGCCATCAGGAGAAAAGGAGGAACCCAGACCAGTGGTCATTCCATATGTTGAGGGAGTATCAGAGAAACTGAGATGTTTATTTTCTAAACCTAACGTCCCAGTGGCTTTTAAACCCCAAAATACATTAAAGACTGGTTCATCCCAAAGATCCAGTCCCCCGGCACAAACAGAGTAATATTGTGTAAGCTGTTCAGTGTCAGGAGGGCTGTGATCAGTCTTACATCGGGGAAACTAAACAGCCACTGGCCAAAAGGATGGACCAGCACAGAAGATCAACATCATCAGGCCAGGACTCTGTGGTCTACACTCATCTCCAGGCCAGCGGTCACTCTTTCAAGGATGAAGATGTTCACATCCTGGACAGAGAGGAACGATGGTTTGAGAGAGGAGTAAAGGAGGCCATCTTTGTGAAAAAAAAATAGTCCATCTTTAAACAGAGGTGGAGGCCTCCGGGTTCAACTGTCTCCCTCTTACAATGCTGTTATTGCTAGTATCACTCAACCCCCTGTGAATAGTAAACAGCCATCAGTGTGCTAATGATCCATTGTTAGG